AAAAACCTAGGCCAGCCACAGGGCTCATCAGGTAAAAAGCACATTCCACAAAAGCTGATAATCTGAGTTTGGTCCCCAGAATCTAGAGTGGAAGGAGAGAACTGAGATCCTAAGTTGTCCTCTGATCTCCACACATGTGTACCCACATTCACACATACACACAACGTGCACACACACATACACGTACACACATACACAAATGTACACACACATATATAGAAAAGCAGCAACTAGTTAAAAAAAAAAACTTGATGTAAATATTTTCCAAATGAGCAAAGAATATGAGAAAGAAACAGCCAATACATGTTTGGAACTCTGTCCAACTTCATCACTCATCAAAGATACAGAAATTTTAAGAAATTAAGTGATGTTTTCATCTGCTAAAATAACAGTTCTCTAACCTTATTTATCCTTGATGAGGCAGGATGCCAATGGAATCTCTGTTCACTGCTAATGGCAGAGTAAATAGTGTCCACATGGTGTAAAGGGACAGGAGCACTGTGTGAACGCCTCTTGAGCGCCTGGCCGGGCCCTGCACTCCTGGCCTGGCCCCTGCACTGACACTATTGCCATAAGAACATGAGATTTGGTCTGAGCTGATGGAGAAAGACGCCTGCCTTGCCATTTACTCCCATCCCTTTATTTATTTATTTTTATTTATTTTTTGTCTTTTTGAGACAGTCTCCCTGTAGCCTCAGCTGGCCTGGAACTTGCTGAGCTATGTAGACCAGGCTGGCCTCGAACTCCCAAGTGCCTCTGCCTCCCAAGTGCTGGCTCCTTTATTTCTCTTTTGATACAGAATGCCAACATACTGCACAGGCTGGCCTCAAACATACGGGCCCATGTGATCCTCCTGCCCCAGCTTCCCCAGAAGCATGCACCCCTACATATGGCTAATCTTTTTAAATTTCTTCTTTTCTGCAGTGCTGAGGCTCCAACCCAGGTCCTCATACGTGCTGGGCCAGTGGTATGCTACTGAGCAATGCCCTAGCTTCATCACACACTACTTACAAAGTGAAAAATTGAGCCCCTCTAAGAGTAAGAAAAGGCATCAAGGCGGTTGCTGTATGTGCAGCAACCACACTGC